ACTGTAGCTTTGCCCATTTACAAATGGCAGTCCTGATGCTTCACATTTTAGGTAATGGCATTACATTGACAGCTGTGTTCATTTATAAACAGAGTGTTACAGTGAAACTGAATCAGAGAGCGAATCATCTCCTTCAACCCGCAGGAAAAACAAGGTTAGCGCGGTAAGAGAGTTATATATTGCACAAATAATCATTAAAGCATGCACATACACATCCAGATTACATTCATTTCATATTTGTCTTGATTATCTTTCTCAGAAGGTACAGTCCAGCACCCTACCTCTCCCCAAGGGTAAGAACAGGGCGCCATTACCTAGACCTACAACAGAGGGCAGCAAAGGAACAGGTATTTGTTATGTCACACTGCCTCTCTCTTGCTCTCTCAGTAATAAAAAATGTCTTTAATCACAGCGTAATGAGTGTTAATATTTTAAGACTCATTAAGTTTTAATATTCTCTGAGAGAGTAAATAAGATTAATTGTGTTGTTTACTTACCTTTAATCCTGTTTTGGATAGATGGTTCACAACAACTGTGTGACTGTGTTTTTTTCCTGTGTGTTTCCTCACTTCTGTTAGAACCTGGTCAGGTAGATGAGATGGGCATGATGCTAAACAATCTAAAGGAAGGGGGAGTTTCTCTGATCGGCCACGAGCAGCCGTTCACGCACGACCACTTCAGGAAGTCATTCATTCGGCGCAACAAAAATCCCGTCATCAATGAAAAGGCACTCACGCTCCGAGCTCTGCAAAGCACTCTAAAGGTGAGGAAAGGTCTTATCCAGTCTTACCTTTCCTTGTGTCTGCATGGAAACCCATGCGATTCAGCATTAACTCCAGCAACTGATACACAAAGCTGCGATGGTCCTGGGTCAGTGACCCAGTGTTTTCTGTTTTGTATTATTGATCTTTGATTTCTTGATGTGTCTTTGTTAATGCTTAGAGTTTTGGTTCTTGTGTTTAGTGTTTTGTTATATCTATCCATGTCCTCCCCTAGTGCTCTGTTCGTGTTCCTGAGTTTGTGTTTGTAAAACAGTTTGTAAATTTCCTGTTTTACTTTGAAGGTCTGTGTCTCTCATGTCTAGGTTCAGCTGTGTCCTCCTCTGGTGTGTCATTCCCTTGTGTGTTTATATAGTGTGGTTTCACCCGTGTTCATTGTCGCTCTGTCTGTGTTATTTGGGGAATCTCGGTGTTTTTCCCTGCGTGTCATTCCGTGAGTTATGGTTTCGGGTTTTGTTTGTTTCTAGTTTTCCCAGTTTAGGTTTATCTTTAGTTCTGTTCTCGCTTTTGTTGTTTTCACCTTCCAAAATGAAGCTCCTTCGCATCACAGTCCTTTCTCACAACACCACACGACTGCTGCTGCAGCCGTGACAGTAGCAGGTACATTTATCACTGAGTGCATGACAAATGGCTCAGCTGGTGAATTAACCAAGCATCTTAATTATCGAAAGTTGCTCTGGCAGGAGCTATATAACAAAATTAAAAATTCAGCTTTTATTAGTAACTCGCTTTGGCCGTAGGGAACATGGAAGACATGGGTAAAACCACTCCTATTTAAAACTGCAACGCACTGTTTCCCACAGCTTGAAATTCACTCGGCGGTGATGGATGGTGTATATATGACAGATATTCCTTAAACGCCTCACATATTGTGAAATGAGAAAGTCTCATCCAAACACCTTCAAATTCAATACTGTTCTGCTCAGTATCACAGGTGATTTATACTTCTAGTAAGTCTGTGCCGTAGGTGGATTGTAACTGCAAACCTCTCTGAAACCCTACGCCATAACCTGACGTGCACTTTCCTGGAAATGTAACTACACATCTCATGTTCATCTCCTGCTGTTGTTTCAGTTTTTAAATTAAAGAGTGGGAACCCAGGAGGGGAAAAAAGTCCCATCATTCTATTTATTTCTATTGTGGCTGGCACTTCATGTAAAACTGTCCACATAACCACAAGGTAACTGAGACATAGCAGTGTTGGCCACTTATGCGTTGGCTATGCAAATATTCACTGCAGAAATCTAAATATAGGAAAAGAACATTGCATATAGAGACTCCTCAGTTAAGTAAAGTGTTTGTGCAAGTTTTATGAAATGAGGCATGAATGAAACTATATCAAGAAACTGTCTTGCTCAGAAAGGTTTTTGTGTTCAAATGGTCAGAGGGTGATATTAAAATTCATCTGCATGGTCGCTGACTGGAAATGCTTTTTCTCCACAGGCCAAAGAAGCGGAGTTGCAGCAGATCAACAAGATCCTGGGCGACTCCGATCTGACACCTTCAAAGTACCGTCAGTGGAAGGAGAACAACGAGGAGCTGTTCAAGGAAATTGAGAAACTGGTCTCGCTCAAGGCCTCCAAAGCAGGGGACCATGCACCTGAGCAGGACACGCCCACTGAGGAGGTTGCCCTAGAAACTGTTGCCAAGGAAACAGCCGCCGCAGAGGCAGAAGGCGCATATAGACTAAGCCTTAGCGATGGGGAGCAGTTAGTCGATGCAGAGCCATCTGACGTTCTTCTGGAGATGTCACAAGCGTCTCCGAGCACAGACAGCAGCCCAGTATTAGAACTCTCTTTCGGCTCGCTCCAGGATTCAATAAACAAACAGCTGAGGGAAATGGCACAAAGTGGAGACACTTCAGAGAGCTACTTCTTCATTTAAAGCCACACCAGTTCAAAGTTGCTCTGTTTAATAACAGTTAATAATGTTAGACAAATGAAAGCTTTTCTTCATGCAACAATGTGAGACAGCGCAGACGGTTTTTTTCATTGGGAGCAGTTAAAAGTTGTATTAAAAATGGCCACAAAATCAAACATTTTTAAATCAAACATGTCAGTGAAATACATCAATGCATACTTGTTTGTCTTTTTGTTTAGGAAACAAATTTCGATAAATGACAAGTTTACAACAGCAAAGAGAACATGAAATTACCAAGTGTCACAGTCTCAGTTTGGTATATATTTATATAATTTTAAAATTATCATTCTTCTTCTTCTGTGGTTAAAAATACCATCAAGTATGACTTTGCTTGGAACTTGTGATATAAGTTGTACCTTTTGCAATGTGATATGTATGTACAGTTTTACTATAAATACTCTATGTATTTGTTTATTGACATTACCTTAATAAAGGTCCATGTGAATAATTTTGTACACAACTTTTACTCCAGAAACACTGCTATTGCTCGTCTGGGTAAGTCCTTTTCAAACTCCCTTCATGACCTTAATGAGAACCTTTCACCAAAAATTATATATTTAATGAACTTAAACCTCCTAAGACCTGAACTCTTTCATGGCATGCATTTTTAATTTCTCTTTGCTATTTGGGCTGATTGAGACCTGTTGAATGTAAAAACAAAGAAATTTCTTTTTATCTGATTTTGCTCTTCAAGGGCCTGATATGCACCCATGAGGTCATTCGTTTTCAATTTCAGTAGAACAGTGGCAGTATAATGTCCTCGTAAGTGGATATCCAGCCCTTGTAGAGCTAAATTTAGTATTGTGGTCTAGACAACCCAAAATTTGGACACCGGGTCCTGGATCCTAGGAGAATAAAGAACAGCTGCATGACAGCCGAGTTTCTCGATTACCTTTTGCCTGGATCTGCTGTAAATGCACTAAGACAGATGATGTCTTCCTGAATACTAAGACATCCCATGCGACCCTGCTGCTTTATACTGTAACCTTCACTTGCTAAATTAAAAAAAAGAGAGTGTAACGATCACTGAAGAGTGTTATGATGTTCTGTGATTTCCCGCAACTGAGTGGGAGATAACTGCCCAGACTTGGTAAAGTATTGTGTCTGTGTTTCTAAATGTGTGTGTCTGTCTTCAGTGCATGAATTACACCCTCCTCTGTGTCTGAGACCTCTTTTAAGCCGTCCACTGACGTTTACTACTAAGTAGATAAAATGTTTACTTGTTCTGTGCGAGCAGGTCTCAAAGACCTGCGTTTTCAACCATGATGTGAATTTCTCTCCTCTCCTGAGGTTGTTTGTTGCCAGCTGAAGCGATTGAATAGGTTATTCTCACATCGGATTGCGATCTCTCCACGTGGCTCCAGGCAACATTCACATCTAACATCTATTCACATAATGTTGCTTGGTTTAAATGCAGTGAACTTGTCTGCCGTACAACATGTGAGATGATCACTCTGGCTCTCGGCCTCGTCTTAAGACAAATAATGTGAATTTATTTCCATATTAAACATGTAAATGTATTTAGCTTCCAAAGTTATCTTCATAAGTGAATTGCATGTGCTCCTATTTCCTGATTTCGTTTTTCTTCATTGCAGCATAACCTACCTAATCTGAAAAGTAATAAATAAATAAATGCAACAGATTGTGATAAATAGTTTTTTATTTAGTGCAACAAATATGAGCACAAAATGACAACACAAACCAGTCATTTGCAAGGAATAGAAAATACCCTTTTGTATATCCTCCTGTGACGCCTTCTTTAATATTCATAGTGCTCATCTTATTCCAGAAATATAATGTTACCCAGCAAATTCATCAACAAAACAGGATATCACATATAAATGTAAAGCTTTTTTTTCTGTTAACAACCAGCTTAATACAGATGAAACCAAGTGTGATGACCTTAAGAATTTAAGCTATTTTTTTAGGCTTCTGCTGGCATCATCTATGATTCACAGTTCTGTTCAGACAATTTTCTTCTTAACAGTACAAATGCATGGCTACAACGTAAAGGCAACACAAAGCAATACTTCAATCGTATTTCACCACATGTTGCATTTAAAGGCAGCGTGATGTTGAATCTTTTTCTAACGTGACATTCATCCATTTGTTTTTATTTACACCCCCAGATCATGTTTGTTCTTGTGTTAAAGGAGAGCTACATCCATTATGTTTAAACCTGCATGACAGTTCATTACTAAGCAGCAATGTCTGGTAGTCCACAGTCATTTATGAATTTATGACTTTTCATTACATAAGCTACACACTGAAAAGATAAAAATGGGTTTAGAAAGTGCCCTTAATGCTATTTTTTTTTCTCTTTTCTGTCCACGCTTTCTTAAAGTTTAAAATGTTGGACAAGCTTCTAACAACTAACTTCATATACATCCATGTCAGGCTTGTTGGTCATTTCTGGACATGAGTGGCAGGGAGACACAGAAAGCTCATGCCTAGATGGGCAGGTTGGGCATCGTGGTCGTTTGAAACTGAAAAGCAAAGCGGCGCCTCCCAACACCTGTAGACACGAACCCAGCCACCCAAAGTAAAGCGAGCCAGCTGGATGCAAGTTGAGGTGTGGGTACCGTGGGTTATGAATCCTTTGACTTGGATCCATCCCGAGTCTTTTAAGGTTGTGGGTGTAAACCCCTAACGCAGTCAGGCTCAGCAGCCCTGCTGTCACCACCAGAAGTCCTCCTGAGGCTGCTACACCTCTTAGAGGGAGATCTGCCCAGCACCGGACCCCGATGCAAGCCAGGAGAATGCCAGTGCCGCACAGGAACAATGAGGTTAGCACCAAACCCTGTGCCAGACGAACCCTGGGGTCTCTCTGATACGGACCAGCCACAGGCCAGCACTGCCTCAAGTCAGAGCGCTCCACCTGCAGGCAGCTCTCCCATAGTCCATCAGAGCGCAACAAGATCAGTGCCTCCACTGAACTGGACCTGGTCCCATGACTTTTTGTTCCTGACCGGAGCAGACTTCCCGGTCCTGCCATTCCCAAATGTGCCTGTCCCTCTCTCCACTGGGGGGTGATGGCAGCAGTGAAGACTAGGACCAAACCCAAGGGGGCAAAAACGATCCCCATCACCATGGAGGCTGGAGTGTGCATCTTTTGTTCTCACAAATCCAGCTTGTCAGGAATAAAAAAAATAGTACAGTACCAGTGTTCAGTATGCTACAAATATTTTACAAAACACAAATAACAGTGGTTGTTTCTCCAGACAGAGACATCGCCTGCTGGTCAAATCTTGGCATGGTTTACTCTGCTCTAACAGAAGAAGAAGAAGAAGAAGAAGAACAGTTAGATAAAATCCTGTGTTTAAAAAAAAATCAATTTGTGTCACAAACATCTCCTCCACTTTCTGACAAGAAACACAAAGAGCTTTAGAGAGCTATAAATAAGACTGTGGCAAATGCAAAGACAGTCACTACAACGATCACAACATTAAAGATTTAACACAATAAAATAAGAAAAAAGCTCGCCCAGTACCTCTTAAACGAAAGTCTCCTGTGTTTAATCTGCAGGCTCTTCATTCTGACTGCCTGAGTGAAAGAGAAGGTCAATGCGATGATGAGAGACAGAGAAAAGCAGAGGCAGAGCTGAAGTGGAGTAAACACAAGTGCACGAGCAGACGGAGAAAGCAGAAGGAGGTTTGGCTTCACTGCTCCTGCGCTGGACAGGGAAAAAAACACACACACACAAAAACCCAGAGCAGTCGATGGCTGCCTCTGTTGCTAGGATACAATAACCTGCTCAACGTGGCAGTATGCGTGTGCGGTTGTGTTTATCACAAGACTTCTCTCTGCACAAGATGTGATGATCTCATGTGTACAAATGGTACAAATGTTGGCATACTTGAGTTTAGTGTGTGCGTGCGTGCGTATGTGTGTGTATGATGAGTGTGCCACTATTTTTTTTTTAATGTTTGAGGATTGATGGCCAGCTGTGACCTTGGTAGAATTCAGTCGGGTTAGTAATTATGTGAGGCCACTGTTTGAATGCAGAGTGAGTCTCAGACAGAACAGTAAAGAATGTCCCAGGAGAAGAGGACAGAGTGAAGACGTAAGTGAATCATGCAGACAAACAAGCCGGACATCTCTGTTAAACAAACAACGTCTGCAAAGATGTTATGATGACAATGCTGTATAAGACGTGGCTCACTGTGTTTTTGCAAAGGAGGACGACTAGAAATGTTGAGGCTGTTTCTTATAATAATAATAATAATAATAATAATAATAATAATAAGCAGAAAATTATTATACCAAGCAAAATGTGTTTACACAAAAAAGTTTTTAACAAAGAAAAGTCTTTTTATCTAAGGCACATGATGATAAAGTGTCACAAAACATGCAAGGTGTTAGTGAGCTGTACACATATAAATGCAAACATTTAAAAAGTAAAAAAAAAGTGCAACTATAGTTTAACATATTAGATATTACACAGATTCTTATCCATCATTAATTGTTTAATCATCTTTTCTTTATTATTACAAATTATATATATATATATATATGATCCTGCATCTGAAGGTTAAGAAAACAAAGGAATGCCTATTTTTAAGCTTAACTTATAACTTACAGGAAGATATTGATCCAACAGCAATCACATTTGTAAATCTGACCTATAATTGATGGCGAGATATTACTTCCAGCAATGTCGCTTGGGAGCTGATGACATATAGCGTGACGGAGTCAGTCTTGTTCCTCTTTAATTTAATCGGAGATTACACTTTGCAAAGAAGCAGCTGTGCGCAGGAAAGGACAGAACGTACTAGAAAAATATTGTTTTAAACGTGCAGAGACAATTGTAGAATTTAGAGTAGAAATTTTGCATGAGAATGCATGTCTGGATGTGGATGCGGGACACATGATAGGATTGTAGCTTCATAAACACAAATATCACCTGCTTGACTTTAGTGACATGACATAAAAATCATAGAAGATGACAGAGACAAGAATCAAAGCTCTGAGCCACCTGTGAGGGCTTTCATGTGCACCACAAAGTCTCACTTAGGTATGAATTATGTTCTATACACACTTGTTACTCTTGCAGCTGTCGCATTGCCAAGTCCATTGATTACTGCCACTGTAATGACTGTAAATGCAGTGCAGCTCCCTGAGGTGCTTGATTAGGTTTGATGCAGAAAAGAAAGACATAAAGAGGCCAGTCATGAGCCAAAAAATTCCAAGCATGCAGTACATTTTTAATAGCATTTTCCCTCCCTATTTGGAGCAAATACAAACACATGCACGCACACCGACACAGTCCATGAAGTAGCAGTCACTTACCATTCAGGAGGGGTTTGTTTGTATCTCACTGCAGATCGCTGGCTGCCTCCCTGCTGTCGTCTGAATGGCTAACATGTTTCTCTCTGTGGGAGCAGATGGTGCGACGACTTCTTTATTGTTCTTTCTCCCTCTTTCTTCTCATCTGCCCTTGCTTTAAAAATTTCTCCACTTGCCTCTGCAACAATTTCCTCTGTCTTCATGTCTGTGTCCTTGTGTCTGCCCCCTCCTCTTTTTTCCCCCCCTGGCTGCTTCCTCAGCTGTCTGCTTCTCTTCCCCGCTATCCCACTTTCTCCTGGATGTGTTTCTCTCTTTGACTTGCCAATGTCTGTGTTATATCTAGGACAGTCCCTCCCTGCTTTTCCCTGTCGCTGTTGCCAAGTAGGGAATGTGGGGAGCTTTCTGAGTAATACCAACACTTCAATCTGCCTGTTTTCGACCACATAGAGGTGTTCGAAAATCAAAATCTGACTGCTTATTGTTTGCCTTTTTATGAATCCTGTTTTGAGAACACAGACATAGGGACACAAGCTTGCACAATCACTCCCACACTGGCAGGTGTCCCAATTTATGTGGGACTGCAGAGCATTTTTATCCTTTTTCCTTCATGCCACATTTTGATTGGCTGAAACATGAAGTAAACACTGCAAGACAGGCACTGCAAAAGGGAAGAGAAGGCAGTCATAGTGGTCAAAGGGTAGTTTAACCTGTAGGTGTCTTTGGCTGGATACACTTTGAACATGGAAAGGTGTGAGCCACTAAAAAGTCAGTTTGTGGAGATGCATTGGAGAAATACTGTATGATGGAAACTACTACAAACCTAGAAATGTCTTGATTGTTAGAGTTTTAATGTCAAAAAGAGATGCATACAGCTGCAACCCCAATAAAGCCTCAGGACAAAGAAGTTCCGTCACGTGCCAGATCTATAACTCTTTCAGTTTGTGTGAAAAAAGTACATCCAATGATTGTTAATTGACAGGAGCACCTACAGCAACATTGCTTTCTGTATGACCTTTACTCTCAAGGTCCTGCCACAGCATTTCAATTGGGTTGAGGTCCAGACATTCTGTTGTTCCTGGGATCACTGTCATGTTGTATGACCCAGTTTTAGCTTTAAAATTAGCTGTTGGACCGATGATCACATACTTGATTCTAGTGTAGACTCCAAGCTGCCTCGGTCCAAGTAAAAGGCTGTTAAACAATTGCAAAACAATTCTTCATACCTCCACCACTGTGCTCTACTGTTGGACAGTTGGTATGAGGTGCTTCCTGTGCTTCCTGCCTCTGTTTACCATGCTTTCACATCTCCTTTCCTAAGGACTTTGATCCAGACATCTTGTTGTTCATATGCAACATTGTAAACCTAAGATGTATTTTTTTTTAGCATTGCACGACCTGACTTTTGGGTGAATTTGCAAGGACATCCATCCCTGAGAACATTGTGGCAATTCACCCGAAAGACAAAACTCCTAAACACAAACTTAACAATGTGGTGTATGCTGTACAGTGCAGCGAGGAATGCTCAGACCTCTACATTGGAGAGACCAAACAGCCACTTCACAAGCGCATGGCACAACACAGAAGAGCCACCTCCACAGGACAAGACTCAGCAGTCCATCTGCATCTAAAGGATAAAGGACACTCTTTCGAGGATGCCAATGTTCACATTTTGGACAGAGAGGACAGATGGTTTGAAAGAGGAGTGAAAGAAGCCATCTATGTCCACTGTGAGCAACCATCTTTGAACAGAGGCGGGGGTTTACAACACCAACTCTTTGCCATCTATAATCCAGTTTTGAGATCCCTTCCCAGACGCCTTAACGCCCACTCACATCCTGGGCCAGCTGACCTCAGGAATTCGCATGATAAGGTGGGGCCAGGTTTCACAATGAACACACCCGAAACTCTGGCGGACTGGGACCCACACCCAGTTTCACACCTTGGCTCAGGCGATTAGAGGATCATCAGGGGGTCCTTTTGTCCCTCTGTGGGGGTTTACTCCCACTAGGTTTATATCTGGGACTCTCAACCATTTGACCTTAGAACTGAAGAAGCTTCTCGGATGAGAGGTGAAACGTCTTCAAGCAACTTAAAGAAGTCCAGACGCTTTTCTTTGCAAGCTCCTTTGACTACGATGACCTGGATGACTGAGAACCTTCACAGACACATTGTGGCAATGTGTTAACACACACCTGAATCTTCTGGACCAGCAAACCACCAAAACATCTGCTTTTACAAAGGTTCTCACACTTCCTGATGATCAATTAAAACAAAGCAGCACCTAGCTGCTACTTAACCCCTTAATTCCTATGGAGACAATTAGACAGTACTTCATTTTTTTACAGGACTGCATAGTCTTGTGAAAACTTTGTTTTTCAATGCTTTTCACTTTTATTGACACCTCTCACAATGTCTCATGCAAATATACTATTTTCTGCACATTTGGTCTGTTTATGCTTTCAGAATATGAGAGGACCAATCTCAGGCACAGATCAGTTTCATGCTTTTGTTTGATGTGTAGAGACAGCAATCAGCTCTTTCTGAATTTTCCAATATGCACTTAATCTCCTAGGCTAATTGTAATTATTCACACCTCCTCTACACAAGTGGTATCTTTTGTTTTTCCCACTGCTAATTTATCTCTTTTTTATTTCAGTCAGAGCTGTAAAAACAGAAACAGACCCCAAACCTCTTATGCATTTTCTTTATTTTCATACAAAAGGGCCAATGCTTGACCAATATAACCTGATTGTAAAATTATGAAATAACGCAGGGATACATGCACGCTTTGAAATGATGCATAATGTATAAAGAAACAAACAAGTTTTTACACATGCATATACATGCACACAGTGAAAGTCCTCTGGCTGGGTTGAGGGTGTTTTTGAAGTGTTTCCAGAAAAAAGAAATTTGTGATATCACCATACAGTCAGGAAATGTCCACAATTTAGGGGCTAAATGATGACCAATACTAACTCATGTGTGGTTTTAAGGGTGGAAATGTCTGACTTTAGGTTCTGAATGCAACCCAGTGTTGGGTGATCTCGGTTGTGAAACTAACAGGAACCTAGAGGAGGATACTTTTGGCAGTAAAAAAAAATAGTGACAGCAGACTGAGAGTAAGAAAAAAAACGCACCATTGTGTTTTTATAGAAGAAATGATGAGTACATCGCAAGCAGTAACCTATAAAAATGCTTAAAAAATGCTGTGCACAAATCATGCACGGAGCTCTTTCAATAAAAATGAAATACATAGCAGTTTATGGAAACTGGTATTCTATATGTACACAGATAGCTCATACAACACTGTCTTCTTAAAACCTATTTACATTAAATACATAAAGGGCCGCTGAGCATTATTGCTCTGACGTTAACACAATCACAAGAACGGGGAAGAAGAATGATATGTACAACATTTTAGGCAGAAGTAAAAAACTGGGGTGCTGCTTTCACTTCAGTTTTCTTCTCGCTTTTTGGAAGTCCACATCCTACATTCTGTCTGCTCAGGCAGTGCTTCAAGAAATTGATCAAACTGGCATCTTTATTTCTTCATCCTTCAGCAGAGTGGGTGGCTGATTCTTCTCATACTTCAACAAGGGTAACCTGGAACTGACCGTTGCCCAACTCGGAAACCTCGATGAGGAATGCCGACTGGTTGGTGTAGTGTTGGATGATGTTGTCATCCATGTTGACAAAGATCCTGTTGGGGAGACAAAAAAAAGACAGGGTTACTCCGGGGACTGTGGAGAAACAAGGTGCAAAACCATTAACCTATTTAGAGAAAATCATATTCGTCTCTAAAACTGCGGTGTTCAAACAGCCTAATAATGTGTTCAGTGTACTCAACCTTTCACCCTGGTGTGACACAAACAG